TATTACTAGTATTACAAGAGTCCGAGACAGAAACGTTGGAAGCTATGCCTAGATTAGTAGTAGTAGTAGTAGTAGTAGTACAGCAGTTGTTAAGGGTATTGATTGCTTCGAATGTTTACTGTGATGGTGAGTTCAACAGTCCATCTGTGACAGGGGTTCTCAACTAGGCCTAGGCTAGACCTATATCGCAGTACACATCTAAATCATGTAGCAAAACAAAATTCATAAAAATCCTGAACCTTGGCATTACCTTACAGACGCGTGTGAATGCTTTTTATCTCGGTAGGAATAACTCGGGAGATCGCTCGGTTACAATTTGTTACTTTTTGTTAAATTTAACTTCACGTGTGAATCGGGTATAAGATACAGATATTGAATATTAAACAAAATGGAGAAGAAGGGGAGTCACTATTCTTCCCTAGTTTTTTAATATGCAAAAATTCATCACTTTTATGTCTTATACAGCATGACACCATTTTGTGCCTCTGAGGTCTGGATTTAAATGAGCTCACTTAATTAGACAAACTATTTTTTGAGTTGAGTCCTATATTATCTCATTCTCCTACTTAGTTTCATTAAGTTCGCAATTTAAACTATGTGAGCAGTTTATTTAAGTATGAACAAATGAAGTGGTTGGTGTTGCACATGTCTCATGCTTCGTTTATCATGTCTAATTAAAATGAGCTTGTTATGGACATGCTGATTGGTTATTCAATCAAGCCGCTTTCATCTGTCAATGCCCTACCTTCCGATGTCCAGGTCATCTATGATAATTATTTTATGCTCATTATTTATGTTTCAAAATTATAAAAAAATAATATATATAATATAATAATATTATAATATGTGGACATGCAGTTATGACATAAATTAGTCTAGTAATTTCTGTGTTGCATGTTTTTGGTCAATAATACTTGTTCCTACTGTGCATTTATAACTATAAAATAATCTTTAAAAATTATATTTCATTTTAACAAAGAATTCATGAAAAGTTATTATTATAAAAATATTTTATCAATTCTTGTTTGATGATTGCCAAATTTATGAACTTTATTTTTTTATTTTGCAGGAACACAGGGACCAAATGAAGGAATTGTGCGTGGTGGTTTTGCTACAAATTTTGGGAGTGGTATTGCGGGAACAGGGGCGCGAGGTATCCAAGGTACAGTGGTTGGTTGCATCTTCAAGGCGTTGGTAACCAGACTTGCAAATTGTGAAAAAGAGCTGTATACAGAACGAGAAGTAGGTGGAATGAAGATTTATTTTTTTTAAATAAATTAATAAATTCACAATATTTTTGTCTTCATTCTATTTATCATTCAAATGACAAAATTTGTCATGGCACCGTCACCTTGAAGTGCGTTGAACTAATAATATAACAAGCCAGGCGGTTGGAACAGTAAAAATTCCAAATATTACCAGCATTCATTTTGAATGACTCCCCCTATTTAGTTTGCAAAAGTAATCTTAAAAAGTAGCTCATCTTGAAAAGAAGCCCGTCTCGAAAAGAAGCCTATCTGAAAGTCCTAAAAACAAAAGGCCAGGGCTTCTATTCTTGGTTTTATGGTATTTAAATTGACTTAAAATAAGCACAAAAACACCTACAAAAAAATATAAAATCTAGTTAAAATTTGATTCTACTTTTTTTTTTATATAGAAGTTCCCAAAATAATAAAATTGAATGTTACTCTAGTCTTAAAAATTCATAGTATTTCGTAAAACCTGGAGAAACTGCCTTTGCTTCTTGACTACTGTACTACCGATACAAACATTAAATATGAAAAGAACTGCTCTAGATTCCCGGTAATATTGGAGCGACAGATAAAAATATATCATTTATTCTCAGCACAAGTTCCTGTTATTGACATTTTCCAATTATCATCCTCGTCCATTAATCATCCACAAGGTTTGAAATTTGCGCACTTGGTTGCAGTGGTGCACCATCTTCGTATAAAATTAGTTAATCATGCAGACAATTGCTGAAATGAAATTGTAAAATGACAAGGTAATAATTGGGAATAATTGTAATTGTGTTTCTGCTGTTGACATTTTGTGTCAGTCATAAGGATTCCGTTATCGATTTTAGAGCGTTTTATTTTGAGTACTGTTAATTTAGTAATAAAGTAATCATAATAATAATATGACAAATAATAATAATAGCTTTATTTGGTATAGTTGATATGGTAGATGCATCTGTGCTTTACAAAAATGAAACAGAGAAAATAACAAAGAAAGAAAATGACAAGATAAAAACAGAAAAAAATAGAATAATAATACGAATGTTCTAATTGCTCTCAGAAAATCCAGAAAAGCCCTTTAAAATATAGTAAATATCATTAGTGTATTTTATATCTTCTATAAAGTTTCATTCTTCAAGAATTTTTCACTTCAGCTCAGTACTACAATATTAAATGTTATGTTGCACACACGACTAGGAATACTCCCCAGGGATTGGAGGAGGTTACATTTTGTGCTGGGTTGATTATGGACCGATGACCAGGGGTAATAATATTATAACAACATTGCCAGCGCCTTGTATCCTTAGCAAAAGGCTTGGTATAAATCCCATTAAATTATTATTATTATTAATTATTATATCCATGGTCACATCCATAATATGGGCAAATCACAGGTTGCCACATAAAATATTATAATCAATGCATGATATAATATAGCATTAAAAAAGTTTTTAAATATCTGTGCGCGGTAAAAATGTTTGTATGTTATTAATTCTTATATTTACAGTCATTAATTGTGCTTAATATTTGACTGATGAAATTATTATTTATATTTTGCAGTCTCTTTACTGTGAGGTAAGGCAGCTTCTGAACTATATCAAGGAGGCCCATGGCGGGGTCTTCCGCCGGGTTGCATTCAGTGGGTTGATAGATTCCTCCGGGAAGGGAGAACAGGCCAAGGACCAGTTTACTGACAAAAAGGATGAGTAAGTTGAAAAATTAAAAATAATTTTGGCATCAGCTTACTTAGATTGTATCTGAAGCCCTGTCCAGACTATCAAATTTTATTTGACAAAAACATGTGACACGCCTAAATATGGTCATGATGACATCACATCATGACCATACATAGGGATATCATGACTATATATGGGCATACAATTAGTCTTTTGATAAATTTAATAATCTGGACAGAGTTCAAGAAGATTAGGTTTTTAGGAATTGTCAACTCCTCAAATTTAATTTTTCAGCATAAACATTTCTTCACGCTCTGGTTCTGAGAGAAGTCTTTACAATTTTGGGAAGCTTGTGGTTGATGGTGATGCCAGTCCAAGAACTGAACTCAGGCAGAAAGTCTTTAGGAAAAAATTCAAAGGTTCCAATGCTAGTCTTGACGAAGAGGGCCAATCCAACGCCAATTCAAGGTCAAAGTTCAGTGTCTTCCAGTTTGGTAAGTTCATTAATGTATTCTCTGTTTTTTTATTAATCGTATCAGTTGATTAGAATCTTACATGGGAGTTTGTATCCAACACTTATTGGAAATAATTCAATATCTGACATTGAATTAATTTGAAACAAGTATATCAACTTTTTTACTTAAATTATATAGTAGATAATTTGAGCACCTACTTATCATATTCAAGATCACCATATATAATTCTAAAATAGTGCCTGTGAGATAGGAAGTGTGGAAATTGTGGTAGTGAGGTGGAGGGTAGGAGCTTGAAAAAGATGGTAGAGAAAATTTAAAAGGGTAGGGATAGTAAGGTGATAGGAATGGTCAGAGAGTAGAGGAATATGATAGTGATAAAGAGGGATAGGAGTGGTAGAAGGGTTGGCAAGAAATATAGTAGGATAACCGTATGGGTGGTGTTTAGAAGGTCAGTAGATTAACAGCTATCTCGTGGCCCTGCCTTTTGGCACACATGTTATGTTCCTTTTCATTTTTATAACACTCCATTATCATTAATATCATCACCAAACCATTGTTCCTTAGTTTCCCATCATTCTCTTTTTTTCCCTAAAATATTCATGATAAAAATACCTAAGTTAGCCCATTGATAAAAATTAAAAAAAATAAAAAAATAAAAAAATTCAACATTTTGATTTTATGGATACATTAATCTAATGTTGAGATTATGAATATTTATTCAAGTGTTGTTCACTGATTGGTTGTTAAGCACCCTGTGATATATATGACACACCCACCTACACTAGTAGGTGTTGAGTATCAATCCACCAGTACACTACTGTAACTGAGCACCCCCAATTAGTCATTATCTTAGTTAATCACATCACATATTCAGTAGATTAAACACCTTATTGGTTGAACTTGAGTATCTAATTCCCAGCATGCTTAACCTGTAGTTTTTTTTTGTTTCATAAACATGTTTTCTTGCAGGAAAAAAGACAAATATAGGGCTATCCACGGATACAGGTACAGTCAAGGAAGTTTAGTTGTGTGTGACCTTTGACATCTTCTGCACTTCCTAACCACTAAATTTCATTGCTTTGTTTCTCGTTCATTATCATGTCTCTTGACGCATTTATTCATCACAAATAAGCGAGCCATTGTCATGTAGCGTAGCTTTTCACACAACTTCACGTTGTCATAGCATTAGAATTTACCTATCATCAGAGATCAGATCATTTCTGAATTACAATAAATAACTACTATTTAGTACTAGCATTTTAGTCTAGGAACCATTTTCTTTGTAATTATATATCATAGTAACGACCGTCTTTATTATCATTGTTATTAAATTATTATAGTCATCATCATTATCATTTTAATCATTGCTGGAACAGGTGAAGTTTGTACTCTTACAATAACAAAAATGAAGGGTTCGAGTTTCATTCTGTTCACATTTTACCCTTGGGAAACATACTTGACCATGTTTTCTTTTTCTACCCAGGTATATAATTGGGTGCCTAGTAGGTACGAGCACCAATTATTATTAGCGGCAACAAAATGGAATACTCTCCCAGAGAGCTGAGATGTTGTTCCATGATCCAATCTCCTTCTAATATGAACTATAAAAGACCAACATATTGTTACTGTCATCATCATTATCACCTTCATCATCATTATCTTCATGATTGTCATCATCATTATTATTCTCATTATTGTCATCATCATCAAAATCATCATCTTCATGATAATTTTCATCATTATTTCCATTGTCGTCATCATCTTCATGAAGTATTTCGAGGCTGTTTACTTGTGATCCTATTTATATCAAAAAATGATCAGTTATTACAGCATAATACTAGTGATAATCGTAATTATTCATTATCATTGCTGTCATAATTATTGTCACTTAGATTCACATATGTCATCAAAATCGCAAGTGTGTTAATGGTGAACTAATCTTTAAGAATATCAATTCATTATATCATAAAACACTTTAACTATAGGATCCATCATATCTATATAAGTATAATAGTTTATAATTTTAGTAATAAATTTATTATTTAATATTATATTTTACATATACATATTTATTTATTGTATAATGTTTATCTTTGGGTCTAATGTTTTCACCTTATGCTTATGTTTGCAATTCTTTCTGTATGAACATGAAGGGTGAAATTTGTTTTTCATGTGTTGAGGGCTCTTTTTAATTTTAAAGTTTATGCCACTTTCAAAGTTTTTATTGTTTTGATAATTTTTTGTAGCTATTCTTGTGGTTCAAATTTGTTAATTGTCTGTTCTGCAAAATCTCAACTATTCTTTTTTATAAAGACTTTTTTTTGTTTGGTTTTGCTTAAATATTTCTTGTTTTTTTTAAATTAACTAATTCAAATATAAAATGATATTTTCTAATATAACATTTTCAAATGTATATGTTATTTGAATTAATATTTCTTTGATCCATATTATATTTAAATTAATCTTGCTCTCCTTTTTTTAATATTCTTGTATTTCAATTAATCTGAATTAACTTTTTCATCTTATTGCCTTGAGTGAATTAAAAAAAAAATCTTCATCAATACTATAAAATGGTATGAATTGATGTGTTCTCTTCTATAAAATGTTTTTTTTTTTTTTTTTAATTTTTACTTTAATAAAGGTACTTTAACATGATATTATTTATTGTAGCAAGATTGTATTCACAAGATAAAAACACTGTTATTCATTCTATTTATCTTTCTTTCCTTTTTGCATATATGTGTTTCTGACAATTTATGTCTTAATAGAGATAACAACAACATATAAACCTATATTATTATAAATTGCTTCTACTACTTTCCCTGTCCACCTACTTTTAAAATCTAATTTTGATTATATTATAATCTCTGTAAAACAATTTGTTAACACCATAAAATCTAATGAGAAATGGACATTTCAGTATCATATTATAGCACGATGTATTTCTATTATAAACAGAATATAATATATATTATTTATATATATATATTTATTTAAGAATCTCTATTAAGACCCAGCGCCGCCATTGATGCACGGTAGAGATTGCATCTTCAGATCTCCGATCTTGTTCACAAATTCACAGACTAGTGCTGTCTCGTGTAAGAATTTTGTAGGACGCGTTAAGAATGACAAAATATTCTCTGTATCTACTGGAACCGAGCCGCATAGCTTGTATTCCACTATTTGCATTCACACCTGGGCTGTGTATATATATTACCTTGGTTTGGTTCTGTAATCATTAGTGGTCGTTGGACTAGTTTGGGCCCTACCTAAGCTGGTCGAACATTTCGTTTGGGTCTGTACCCTAGCTGCACTCATGAGGCCTGGAAGGCCGAAACAGATCTGTCTGCAGGTATTGGGATTCCTTCCAGTGGATGCTTAGTTTATTTTGTCATTCTGATCGGA